GGAATGCCAGGGCTTACTTGAGAAAAGATAACTCCTACTAGAACTGATCAAAAGGAATAATTTTTACATTTTACAAAAGAAGACAGACAACTTGCTGGGATAAGCATAGAGATTTTTGAAAAGTTAAAAGCACGTGAAATGATGACCAGTTAAATCTGATACAGAAAGTCTAGCATACGTTTCAATACATAACTTTGACAGAATGCACTGGATGGAAAAGTTCTATACCCACAGAACGTACTAAAAACAACAAATCCTGAAAATTTTAGCTCAATTGAATAAATCCTTCTCAAGATATCTTTTCTAGAAGGTGAAAATAACTCGTTTTGAGAAAACGAGCTTTAAACTTACAGTAACAGTACTTGTCAAAATAAAACTTCAATACCTTAAGATTCGAGTTCCGTAAAAGACAAAACTTCGAATTTTTTTCAGAATTTTAGGTTAAGTCCCGCCTTAAGGTAGGCTATAAAAAATGTTACTCTTTCTTGGCAACAATTTTATAGTTTCCCTTTACGACAATCAAGGCAAGGGACGAGAAGACCGGAGAAGAATCGAACGAGGCGGATTTTGAAAGATGGCATCGTTATCCGTGGTGTAATTTCATTAGGAAGTCGAAGTTATCACAAAGTTATCTCTAAGCTTCGGGGAAGGGTGAAGTTCATATTGTTAGTCTTTCGGATAGAACAATCGTTAGTTAGTTCGCGTTTTTCATATATTATTTAAAATTCGTGACTGAAAAATTCATCTACCATCGAACCATAATCTACAGGAAGCGGGTGGTCAGCGGTTTTTGCTCCCAGAGCAGCCGCACCCACGGCAGAACTTTCACGCAACTTAACAAGTGAAAAGCGCTTCACTTGGACAGCGGCATTGCTAGAACACCGAATGCCTGTTACAAATCCTACGAAGAAAATAAAAATGAAAGAGCGAATTAAATGTGACGTTGGAGGGGGGAGGGGGAGGGAGGGAGTTGGTATTATTCATTTTTTTCTAATCAAAAAGTTGTGCCACGATGGTGGGCAGATTAAAATGTAATTTGAAATTAGCTGTCGTCATCACTTTTTTGCAATTCTACTGAATATGCCATTTTGCTAATGCCACGTGATTAATTGCAGGTGGGATTTTCCCTTATGTACAGGATTATGTTCCTCATGTTAAGCATCACAAAGTGTCATTTTCATGTTACTTCAAATTTGCCAGAGCTTTGGTGACTTTTTACGATTAAGGACACCTTGTGATGCCTATCGTAAGGAGCATGCATGCGCGAGTCATTAGCGTGCAATCCTGGACGTATCTGGAAATTTTACGGGTAGATCCTTCTTGGGGGCGTCCTCGCCAGGAAAAAAAAAAACAGATCTTATTTTGGTCAAGATCGTTCATTTATCAACGCGAACCAGTTCCTCACCATCTTTTAGCAGATTCCAGCTTTGCCACACGGCACCGACACAAATAATCTTTAGTCCTTTTTCACCATTCAACAAAGCGTCCTGACATTCCTGTAGAATGAAAATATCCTCTCAATAAAGAGTAAGAGAAGTGAAAACAGAAAGCAGAGCCTGAAGGAAAAAAGAGACGGAAGGCGTATCGCTATGAGGTACCGACGAATATATTACGCTCGTCATCTCTCGTAAGGGCTAAAACTACGTGACTCAGAGAGAGCTACACCGCATGCGCGGTCGCTGCATGTCGACGACTAAAAACGACCCGAAGACGGTCGGGTTTTGGAAAACATTAAACATGCTTTCAGAAAAAGATTCGTATCAATAAGCATAAGTACACTGGACGGCTAGTATGTTGACCTATCATAAGGCTTTTTAAAATGTCATTTTATCGTCGGTTCGGTTTGGTTTCGAGAAACACTTGGGCCACAGTTACGTGTTTTCGTTTGAAAACGCATACTTTCTGATACGTTTTCTTCTATCGTTCACATTAAATCCATCGAAAACTCATAGATTTAAAAGCGTTGTTTAGAGTGGAGACATTTGATAAAATGGACCTGTCGTATCAGAAAAGACAGCAAAAGCGAAGGCTTTCGAACACAGAGACGTAATTCAATAACATGGACACACGCGTATGAAGATTGTGGTGTATTTATAGGATAGCAACGTTTTTCTGTCTTTTAGTGTGGACGAGGAAAATGCTTAAAAAACGGCAGTGTGGACGCGAACATTTTGATGCGTTTTCAGTACAAAAAGGCGCTCTATAGATGCTTGCCCGAAAGCGCATCGTTTCCAAAAGGCGTTAGGGAGTTTAAGTAGCCACGACGCAACGCTCAAGACAACGTCGATTAAAAAATGAATAAATTTTATATTTTACCTACGAATCTCGTAGTACTCTAAGGTAATTTACTTTAGTTATCACTGTCAAAAGTATCACAAAACTGAATCCGGGACACAGCGATAAATTTGGAATAGTAATTTAAAAAATTAGCGTCGTGGTTTACGTTCTCCAGACAACGCAGAATTTGGTCATTTCACGTCGTTGTTTTGCAGAGGACGGCAAGGAAATGTACCAAGAATTATAACGAACGTACACAGCCATTCTCTTGCTCATTACATCTTTTGTTTAACGTTCTCATTGCCATTGCCGTCGTAGTTTTCTTAAACTCTCTTTTATCATGTGGTCAGGGCCGTACCTTATCCATATGTTGAACAACAGCTCTGACATGTGTCCCTAAAATTTCCCCAGCCTGGAAAAACAGGTGTTGACATAAAGGATCCTTGGCTTCTTTTGCACCTGTAAGAAATACCAAAAGAACAGGAACTTGTAAAGAAATAGGAATAGTAGCCGTGTAAAAGCTGAACAAAGACGTTTTCTCACCAAAACTACGACAATTGCCACTGTTCGTCTGCAATCTTAAGTGTGAATGCAAGAAAACCTCAGGGATTCTGAGAGCGAGGTTGCAATGGAAACACACAAGTCTGTAATTTTAAGGCCTCCTCGAGGCGTTCAGTCAGTTGGGGCGCAGCGCGAAAAAGGGAGAGGGAGGCTTGGTGCCAGGCCAGCTAGGGCCTTTTTCCGCCCTGCTTGGTACCTTTCCGCCCCCCGCCTCTCCCTTATTTTCTAGTGCGCCATTAAATTTTCGCGCTGCTCTCCAACTAAATGAACACTTGGGGGAGGTTAGTAATTCTCGCGCGCCTGACTATAGACGAATTTTGACGTCGTTCTACGTTATTCCCACATTCCGCATAGCTGAATTCACCGAATAGAAGCACATAAATGAGAGGAATTGCCCACAAGCCTAGCTTCTTTCGCAGACACTCTTTGGGCTCGTAACGCAATCCTTCTCCCCCATATGTGAGAGAAGGATTTCGTGACGAGCCCAAAGAGCGTCTCCGTAAGAGACCACCACAAGCTGAGTTTGGAAGGAGAAAAATTTCTACGACAATCAAAACGCAAAGGGTGCGAAGAACTGAAGGAGCGCAAGCTCGACCGAGAAGGACTTTGAGAAAGTCTAAGAAATAAGTAGTTATCTCACCAACTGCTATAGTTTTACACAGCCCCGCATAATAAGCCTTGTCAAATTTGGCGTACAGGTGATCCAACATCCCAAACAAGTTGTCTATCTGGTGTTAAAAAAAAAAATAAAAAGAAAATTTTCTTATTAAAAACGGAAATATACATTTTACTAAGTATGAATTAACACTTTTCTCATGTTCACAAAGCCATTCAATTTTAAGCCATCCTTCTTGCTGTTTGGTAAAATTTGCTATTACACTGAAGCCTCGATATAACGAAAGGCCAGGGAACTGGCAAAATATGTTTGCTATAACGAGGTCTCGTTGTATCGAGGTTCTTTTCCATATATTTTATTATTACTGGGGCGAAGAGTATCGTTCGTAATTTAGTATATTACAAGAAATGTACTACATATGTGGCTGTGTTATAGCTTAGACTTTGAGTCATTGCCTCCAAAAAATACTTAATAATTCAGTTAGTAATCAGTAATTTAAAATACCTTGAAATGTTCAAAAACGGCTTTCTTTACATAAGTGATGTCGTGTTGTGAAGAGACTAATCCATCTTCGGTATCGAACACTGTTTTGATGGCTTTGTGTGATATCCACCACGCTAAAAGAATCAAAGCTCGTTAGATTCCCTCAAAAAACACTTATAACAGGCTAATAATAATAATAATAATAATAATAATAATAATAATAATAGATTTGTATAGCGCATATAAAAGGCAGTATGATCAGTTGAAGTCACTTTAACAGGGCTTAATCTTCTCCACAAGAATTTATGTAACGTTCTAGAGGGCTACAATGTCTTGATGGGCCTCATTTCCATTCGTTCATTTCAATTTTTCTTCCTCTCCCTGACACGGATTCGGTTAACGTGTTCACATCCTTGTTGCCATCCAATCCAGACCACAAGATGATTCATTTGGGAGGTTACAATTGAGCAAATTGTCACAGTTCGCAGCTGAGTACATGGTAGTATGTACAAACAGAACAATTGAAACCTCCCAAATGAATCATCACGTGATGTGAATTGGATGGCAGCAAGGATGTAAACACGTTAGCCGAATACGTCTATTATCAAAATCACTTCTAGTTGCTGGTGTCATGGTTCAGTGAAATATTAAACATACATGTGTTGTACCATTTTTATTTCTAGTCATGACTAAATACATTGTAACACATGTAAAATAATTATTAATATTAGCACACCTGATCCTTCATCGCCCATCATGTGACCCCAGCCACCACAGTTGAATGTTTTACCATTTGGCATTAGCATTTGGCAGTTGGAGCCAGTCCCTGATATTAACACTATGCCACCTAAGAAATGAATTCACAAAAATGGGATCAGTTAACTAGTGACATCATCATCATCATCATCATCATCATCATCATCGTCGTCGTCATCGTCGTCATCATCATCATCACCATCATCATCATCATCATCGTCATCATCATCGTCATCATCATCATCATCATTTCCTAGAAATTCCATGATAAATGTAGCTTTCAAACAAATTGTTTGTTGTTGCTAGAATCTAAAAAGAAGAACATCTAGACATCTTTGTAAGGAGGCAACCCTTAAATTAAAGCAACGGCCAAAATATTTTTTGGCTCTTGTGCCCTTAAGTATTTGCACCCATAAGAGAAGGGCGGGGGGTCCCATGGGCTCCTCCCCTAGATCCACCAATGCATCTCTCCTCAATAAACCAAAGAGTGACTAAATCAATAGGTAGTGCGAGGGACAGAATCCACTTAGTAACCTGACTGCAAGATCCAATAGGCCCTGAATAAGGGTATCAGATATGACTTTCTATGCATGCTGCTTCCATAAGGGAATGCCTTAGGGACCAGGATAAGTGTCTGTTCACCTGTTGAGTGTATACAGTAATTTATAGAGATAATGAAGNCATCATCGTCATCATCATCATCATCATTTCCTAGAAATTCCATGATAAATGTAGCTTTCAAACAAATTGTTTGTTGTTTTTGAGAAAAATGTAAGTTGCTAGAATCTAAAAAGAAGAACATCTTAATGGCATATCAAGACATCTTTGTAAGGAGGCAACCCTTAAATTAAAGCGACGGCCAAAAAATTTTTTGGCTCTTGTGCCCTTAAGTATTTGCACCCATAAGAGAAGGGCACGGGGTGGGGGTGGGGGGTCCCATGGGCTCCTCCCCTAGATCCACCAATGCATCTCTCCTCGATAAGCCAAAGAGTGACTAAATCAATAGGCAGCGCGAGGGACAGAATCCACTTAGTAGCCTGACTGCAAGATCCAATAGGCCCTGAATAAGGCTATCAGATATGACTTTCTATGCATGCTGCTTCCATAAGGGAATGCCTTAGGGACCAGGATAAGTGTCTGTTCACCCGTTGAGTGTATACAGTAATTTATAGAGATAATGAAGTGCTTTGTAACGACATAGTGTATGTGTCTGGGAGCATGACGAAGTGACTGCTTAAGATAGGTGTCCGTCCATTACAGAGGTGTCTTTTAGCAATAGATCAACTGTATAACAAAAGATAAAACTAAAGATACAACATCATGCATTTCAAAATGGACATTGTAAGCAGGAAATTCAACATTCAAATGGCTGACTAAAATTGTATCCAATTTTTCAATTGCCTTCTTCTCAATACTATTATTTTGATAAATTCACTGACAATTCATTCTGAGCAACAGAATGCTTAATAACTAACAAGTAACAACCTTGGTCAGAACCAGTTGCAATAGCACCAACAGTGTCACAACACATGTGATACATGTTACTACAGCTGGGGTACTTTGATGTCATCATGGAAATAGCTTTCTGTTGAATTTCTTCCTTCTCCAGGCCACTCAGTGAAAGTCCCTAAAAAAGAGAGAACCAGGTGTATGAATAAGTGTTGAGTACATCTATGAATCTCAATTCGTGGTCCAATTCCTTGCATTGTGATGGACAAATGCTGGACTAACCATGTCTGCATACGAGCCAAGTGGCCCATCAGGCCAATGCTTATCTCCGATTTCTGTAGCATGAGGCATCTAGGGGTATTTCCACTCCCCCCTGAATGAGATGCTAGTCCATTTGCTGGGTTGCCCCCTGGCCCAGCATTAAAATTTCCCGGAACCCAAGGTACCCATTTACACACCTAGGTGGAGAGAGACACTGTGAGAGTTAAGTGTCTTGCGCAAGAACATAAGACAGTGTCCCCCGCTAGGGTTCAGAACTGGACCGCTTGATCCAGAGTTGAGCGCATGGCCTGATGGCCATGGCAATGGCCTAGTGCAAATCCTCTTAGGCCACTGTTAGTCATTTTTCCGTCAAAATGCATATCTCTACTCAGGAAAATATTTAAATAAGGAAACCCTACCCTTACTGGAGGCAGGCGTGATGGGTTACAATAGCATGTATCATCTAGCCAGTGAGAAGCAATACCCCTAGCTGGTTCATCATGCTACAGAAATACCAACTGAAGGCTTATTGTGTAGTTCCAGAAAATATCCATACCTCTCCCCAGTGGAAGAGACTTTTTCCAAGACCCCCCTCTGGAAATTCCAATTAAGCTTAATGCATTTCTAAGTTAGATTTTTCTGTCTAAGAAAACCCTCCACCCCCCAGGAAATTCCAATCCCTTCTGTGAGGGAAGTTTGAATATTTTCCGGAACTGCAGATTGTTCCAAAAGGCTTAAGTGCACTTGCTTACCAAAGAAGCCAATGGCTTATTTATATCAATTCCTGCAGATCTTTTAGCTTCTTCCACCATCTCATTTACTCTGTGAAGACACTCTTCTAGTCCAATAAGCTGTGAGATAAATCAACATTTGTGAATGAATTAACTGTTCAAAAAATAACTACTTTGGAAACAAATTTCTTCCTCAAACATTATTTGTTATAAGCACATGTGCCTGTCAGCTCAATAATTCTGTGCAAGCGTGTGGTTAGCTCTAAATTTAAGTCTGTAGGTGGAACCCTTAAGTGTTACTGTTCAAATCAAAAGTTAAAACTGACTGAACTGTACTTCCAAGTGGCAATGTTTATTATGCTGTACAGTGTGGTTCAAACTCTTCAATCTGTGGATAAAAAACCCAGTGTGTGACCATTCAAAACAAAGCTACTGAGCAGTAATTTCGTGTGGTACTGTATGCTGTACAAGGTGGTTTAAACATTTAAGTCTGTGGTGAAAACTCTGGAGTGTGACAACTCCTGAAGATGAAACTAAATTTGCTTCATTATTATCATTTTAATTGAATTTATTTGCTATTTTATTATAACAAATTTATAGGCACTCTGTACGAAGGAATTATCTGCCTTCGACTACATGACCCATGTACATGTACATTTTGGAATCATACCCAGTGATTTGTGCCTTGTCCAGTACTGCGGCCTACAATTTTTCCATCACTTGATAATATTATTGCTGTTGAACCTGTTCCACCACTATAGAGATATGAAACAGAAGAGGCCCTGTTAGGGTTTTTTGGGATACAGTATTTAGGTAAAAAATTATGACGGATTCCCTCAAAGTTCAAGTAGTAAGTGCAAAACTTATTTACTAAAAATCTACTCATAGCATGGTAACTTTTAGAATACTATTTAAAACAACTCACTTTAGTTCATTTTTCTAACTGACCCTGCAATTAAATGGGGAGACAGGCAGGTCAGACCCTCACACTTCCTGTACCCTGCTCCCCGCTTCCCGCACCTTTATGTCCTGACTCCCACCCATGTCTATCTTGCTCCCGTCCCATGTAAATAAGGAGACTCAAAACACATCCTAGTCATTAAGCTGATCAATCCTTAGGCATTTCTTTTGCTTTTTACCTTTGTTTTCAGCCTTGCATCTCTTACTCACGTCTTTTGACAGCTTAAAAGACAACATTTCATGACCTCAGATGTTAACACCGGTACCGTAAAAGGGTTTCCAGTTTTACTGGAAATAAGCCTCAGTTTTTTAGCTCAAGGGCGAATTTTTGTTTTTCTGTCAGCCCAGAAGTCTCAAAATAGGCTAAAAGTAAGTCAAATAACATTTTGGGTTCCTGTTTTTGAAGTATTTTAACGCTTAATAAATGATTCCCACCTTCTTAGAACTCCCACTTCCTGTCCTTTTCTCTCCCGCTTCCTGTCTTTTCCATTCGTGCCTACCGCCCCCTATTTTCCCAGGTTCCTGACCCCTATTCTCCCGGGTTCCTGTCCCCTGTCCCCTGTCCCCTGTCCCCTGTCCCCTCGGCCCCCCAACCGAAAGCGAAGAGCTGAGATTGAAGACCCCAAAACACAAAAATGAAGTCCTTTGAAAACGAAAACAAAGAACACAAAACAGGAAAGAGAAGAGCCCAAAACACGAAAGCAAAGACCTGAATACGAAAAGGAACGTTACGTCGATCAGTCAATAATAAATCCAGGAGAAAACCGTGTCAAAGCAGATAATAACTTCTAAACAAAGGTAAAATTTTAGAAATCCCNCCTCCCCCCACCCCTTCACTAGTCAAAACACTGCTATCGATTCTGATTTCTCCATTCTTTTATAACATAACAAAGGAAACAGTTTGCTCCAAAACTTTGGTCCTAAATCTTCTTCTTCTTCGTTTGCAAGTTGGACTCTTAGACATTAAGCTTAAGTAGACCATGCAACCTCTAGCCCCAAGAAATACAGTGACGTGGAAGGACTGTAGAGACACTTAGAACCTCGTACAGTAGATCGTGATAAACGCTGCACAGAATCACCATAATCAATTACAATCAATTAAATTTATTTGTACACCGGCGTTGGTATCGTTTAGCTATAATTAAGCTTAATCATAAACTCTTAATCTCGGCAAACTTACCCTTCAATTCCGCCAAAATACAAATTGTCTGGGACAGCCGCCATCTTGAGAGATGTGAAGGATAAGGGGACTGGACTGCGTAGTTTGTCACGTAACGTGGAGCGTCACGCAATCTAACAAAATGCTTTTTGACGGGGGCTGAGCCGGCGGGTGGGGTCGAAAAAATGACACCATTGAATGTTCGAGAGTCTTTATTCGGTAAATTACCCATTCATTGAACGAATTTAATGTCAACTCCTGATCTCCATACAAACTCTTATATTTTAGCCACAGTTCAGGCTATGTCTGCTATCCTTAGATAGTAGACGGCGATTTTTGAAGTTACAATTAGCGTTTAGGATCGTACACAATGTTCACTGTCCGCACCAGTTAGAGAGATATCTTGTTAAGAGGTCTGATCTGCATGGAAGAATACTTAAAGACTCAACACTTTTAAAAGTCATACCAACTAAAACGAAAATGGGTCAGTCTACTTTCAACTGTGACGCTGCACGACAATGGAACGGATTACCAAGAGAGATCAGAGAATTAAACACTCTTTCTAAGTTTAAAACACATATTTTTAAGCATTTTATGGATCAAGAACGTATCAATCATGTATGTACCGTAAATTAGGTTCAATTTTTTGCTTGTTTGTTTGTTGTTGTTGCTCTTCTTTTTAAATGCTTGTTTCTACATAATCTCCAGAATGGCTGTAATTTTTAATGTAAATGTTTAGTATATATATCTTCTTGTTTTTTTTTTGTTTTTTTTTTTTTTAAA